TGCTGCCACCTCATCTGCATCCCCGGGGGTGCCCGGAGCATCCTCTGGAGAACCGGGCAGTGCTGTGTCCCCGCTGAGCCGGGCTGCACGCACCCTGGGAAGGTGGGAGTGGTGGTGGGGTGCCACTGGGCACGTCCTGGCTGCGCGGGATGCGGAATGAAGCCCATCCTGTCTGTGGTGGCTTGTGCGAGACCACTGAGTGTGCCACGGTGGCATACAGAGTGTTCTTGCTGGCCCACGGCTCAGTCCTGGGGGACAGCAGCCTCACTGCAAGGGTGTCTGGGTGCAGCTGTGCTCAGGACCGTGAAGACTGAGAGGGGAATAGGGGTCCTGAGGTGTCATTGAGGGGACAGAGGCGGCAGAGACGCGTGGGCTGTGTAGCATCCTCTCAAATGGCTCAGCAGAGGTGAGGTGGGCAGGCATCCAGATGTGTTCCTCAACTGAGGACATCCCAGTGTCCCCATGTCCTCAGGCTTCTCTCTTCCTTCCGCCTCTTGGCATGCCCATCCCCATGAGGAGATGGGAACACTGCATGGGGTACTGCAACCTATAAGAAGCCAGTCTTGAGTTGGTTTGAGAGGTTAGAGCTCCCCTGTCCTGGTGACAGGGAATCAGAGCTGGTATAAGCAAAAGGAGGGCCAGGCTGGGAGTGCAGGGACATGCCAGGGACTCTTGTCCTGCACTGTATGTGTCTCTGCTGTCTGTGACTCCCTGTTCTTCCCTTGTGCTGCTGGCAGGCCTATGAGCTTTCTACGCTGACCGGCACTCAAGTCCTGCTGCTGGTGGCCAGCGAGACAGGCCACGTGTATACGTTTGCCACACGGAAGCTGCAGCCCATGATCACCAGTGAGACGGGGAAGGCGTTGATCCAAACGTGCCTCAACTCCCCGGACTCGCCCCCGCGCTCGGACCCAACCACTGACCAGCGCATGAGCGCCACGGGCTTTGAGGAGACGGACCTCACCTACCAGGTGTCTGAGTCGGACAGCAGCGGGGAGACCAAGGTAACATTCCTGTGCTCAGCCGTGTACCTGGGCACCCTGGGGGGCTGTGCTGGGAGCCCTGGTCGTCCCCAGCCCTCCTGGAATAGCAGCTTGGCAAGCTGAGGATGGGTCCCCTTTTGCTGCGACTCCAGCAAGCTTGTGCTGTGGCCTCTCTGGGCTGGCTCCTTCGCTTGGCTAGTGGTAGCGGTGATTTGGAGAGGGAGGGAAGTGGGTGGCTGGTGTCCTGGTCCTGTCCTTTGCAGCGGGGCTCCCCACCGGCCCAGCCCACCCCCCTGGCCAGCTCTCAGCACTGTTATCTCTCCCCAGGCGTCTCCATGCTCTTGCACTCATTGATAAAAATTTGATTCTGCCTCCATGGCCTTATAAGGCCTGGTTTCCCTCGCCAGAGTCCCTGGCAGGGCCCCTCACATTCCTTATAAGCTGCAGCTGTCTCTTGCTTTGGTGCTGTTTTGGAAGGGGGCAGGGAGGACACGGGGAATGGAAACATTTGGCTGGACGGACCGTTTCTGCTCCCTGCCTGGTGTCCCTGCAGGCGCTGGCCCCTGCCTGCCCGTGTTCCTTGTGGCCTCTCACCCAGGGTGCTGCAGAGGACCTGCCCGTGGGTGCAGGGTCAAGCGATGACCCTTTTCTGCTGGAAGGTCGTTGTCTTGTCCCGTGCATCCCCTGATACTGTTCCTCAGAGCTGTTGTGAGAAAACAGGCTCCTGTATCGCTGCTGCTTCCTCTGCAGGCTGGTGCTTGGGTCCACAGATGCCTGGAGATGGGAGGCAAGGGAGTTTGTGGTGCAAGGCAGGGATGACATGCTGAACTGGGGGTTGTGCCACAGCTTCCCAGTCCTGTGTGGAGTGCCATTGGGTGCTGCAAGTTGCTGCAGGTCTGCTGTGCCTGTGCTCATGGTGTGGATACTGGGCTTGCTGCAAAAGCATCCTTGCAGATGAACTGTGGCCTTGCTCTAGGAGCCCTCTAGCCAACTGTACACAAGCCACAGCAGCATCCTTGCCACACAGTAGCCACTAAACATTAAGCAGATGGAACCTGGAGAATGGTGTATGAGATCTCTGTGCTGTAATCTCAGTGGCAGCCCTGAGATGTGCCCAGCTTGTTGTCTGGGGCTGCAGGGGTGTTCAGCTGCATGTTTGTATCCTGTGGCAGCCCAACAGCTCTGGTCACAGTGCTGCTGGCTATCTGGTAGCCACAGTTCTTCCGTGCCTTCTTCCCCACATGTGTGCAGTGCTGCACCAAGCAAAAGCTTATCACTGCTGAGCCCTGAGACATATTCAGCAGTCACAGAGATCTCTGCAGGCAGGGGAGCTGTGGTGGATCAAAGTGTTGCTGGCTGGAGAAGCTCTGTGCTGGAGCCCCAAAGAATCCCTGGGAAGGCTTCCTGCTCATGGGAGCCCAACAACAGTCCTGGCTGTCCCAGTCTGGGTGCCTCTGATTCCTGGTGTGAGCTGTGTCAACCCTTTCCATAGGCAAAGGAGCCCATTGTCAGCAGCAATTTCTCCCCTGAGCAGCCTGTAAGGACTTGTCTCTTGGGCTTCTCCTGGATGAAAAGACAAGTCCCGTGGGCATTTTGTAATGAGACAAATTACCTGTGCCTGGAGCAGTTTGGAGATGCAGGAAGCGCTGTGCATGGCAGCTGACCTGTCCCTGGCATGGGGCTTGTCCACATCATGTCCCTTAAGATTTTCCCTGAAAATAAGGCTAGATGGCCCCAAAGGAAGCGTGCTCAGCAGTTACTCTGCAGAGATCCTCTTAACACAACTTCCGTCTGCCTGCTTTCTGATGCAACCCCCACTTTGTGCCCCACAAGCTCCATCCTGGTGCTTGTAAGATGTAATGTTTGGTGTGGGGTGCCTTGTGGCCACAGCCAGCATTTGGTGTGCGGCTGGAGGAGCCCTGTCTTCTGCTTGACATTCTGACTAAACCCATCCCTGGCCTGCTGAGGGTTCTTGTCATGGCAAGCCCTGAGTCTGGAGATAGTCCCACCCTGACTCTCCTCAGTCCTGCTGTGCCTTCTGCAGGGCTGGAAGCCTGGTTTGGTGCTCTGTCAGAGGTCAGCCCAATTCAGATAGATCAAGAAGCCCTCCGAGGATGAAGAGAGTCTGTGGATGGGCCATGCAAGGAGTCTGGCATCTTTGCTGTGGGGTGGGTGGTACAGAGGGCTGGTGATGCTAAAAGTTGGTCTTGATATGACACCGGTACAAGAGCGTATTTAATCTTCACTCAATCTCGCCATCAGGCTGCACATGGCTCCTCACAGCCATGCTAGCTCAGCTGGACATGGACAATTCTCACTTTATACATTCTGGTTCATATTCCAAGATGCAGATCTTTCTCTTTTGATCAATCCTCTGATTCTTTTATGGCCTGTGCTTAAATAAAAAAAAAAACCAAACCTCTAGAGTTTAAATCTCTTAACTCTATTTTAGCAAAATTCACACCAGGTCCAGCCACACAGGATGCTCTGAGAGGCTTGGGTAGTTGCTCCATGGCCTTCCTGTGAACTCTGCTTCCTGGACCTCTGTATGGACAAAACCTGCTCGTGTTCAGCTGCTGCAGCAGAGCGGGGAGCAGCGCAGCCAGGCTCTTACCTGCAGTCAGCAGCTCGCTGGTATTGCTTTGCACTGCAGCTGGCAGCAGCTCCCAGATCCTCCTGCTGTGCCAAACCCAAGTCCCCTGCCATGGAGCTGAGCTCGAGCTGCAGCTGGGACTGGGGCACACTGTACTTCCAAGACAGCAGCTAAATCTTGATGATGATACTGTCATGCACTGACTGACCCGTCTCATCTATTGTGGGCCCCAAAGGACACAGTGCCCTCATGTAATCTCCTGGGTGTGGTTATGTGGGAGAGGAGATTTTGGAGGGAGCTCAGGGTTGGGGTGAGAGCATGGGAATAGCCCTGATATGGTCATCTCTTTTTGGGATGGGGAAAAGGTGAGACTTTCTGCCCCATCTGGAATGCAGACCAGATGTTGGAGACCAGACTGGGATTTCCCTTGTACCTCCAAGGCCAGTTGTCCTGTAACATCTGTGTAATAATGCTGGCTGGGGATTTTAGGTCATGCTGAACAGCACTGTCCCAGGCAGCCCCTAGAAGCTGCAGAGTGGAAACATTTCTGTCTCAAAGACCCTGGTCCCTATGGTCCAGGATGGGCATCAAATGGCCTGGGCCATGCCCTGCGGTCCACTCATGCTGTATAGCATTTATCAAGCGTGCAGAGTGGTGTGGATCTGTACAGACATCTCCTGCTGCTGTGTTGCACCTCTCTGCTGCGTGTTGATTCCCCAGGCGCTGCTCTGCAAACCTCAGTTTGCGGTGAGCTGTGGTGGGGAATGGATATGCAGCTGGATCAGGAAGGGAAGAGCCTTCAGGGCTGCTGTGGCTTGTCCATGGTCCCTTGGGTAATCTGTGAAGGTGACCCATGGCTTGGCTCCTATTGAAGGCTGGCCTCTTGCATGTAGTCTGGGCTTTGCAGGGTGCTGGGTGGAGCCAGAGTGCCCAGGGGCTCCAAGTTGTCCCAGACAATCATGGGGAGAAGGCAGTGGGTGTCCGATCCCAAGGTGTCTACCAGCTCTTTCTGTACTGGGAGCTATTGCTGCAGCCCAAGAGAAACACAGCAAAGGTGTGAGGAATCTGAGTCTCACCTGTGGCAAAGTAGGGCGGGCAGAGATGGGGCATGCATGGTGTGAGCCCTCTGGCACAGCATCCCTCCTGAGCACCTTTGCTGTTCTGATCATACTGAGGTTTGCTCTTGTGCTTCTAGGGAGTCCTGGGAATCCCTCTGAGTAGGGTGCTGTGAATCTTTTGGGATGCCTCCTCCAGCCCTGAGAGTACAGACTTGGGTGGGGTGCTAAGTGCCCTGGCTGCTTGGGGACTGTATCTCAGGGTTTACAGCTTCAGGGCTATGCCTGGGGATGAGGGAGCCTGGCTTTTCCAGCTGGGAACAGGACCCACCCTGCTCAGCTGTGGGTCCCATAGCCTAGTGAGCTCGGGAGAGCTCTCCCCTGTCACCCACGTGGGAGGGCACCCACAGCTTCCACGTCCCATGTGGGATGGCAGGAGTTTGTGGTTGAGCTAATGGAAAGTGCCTCTGCTGGGCTCCACTCTTGTTATCACGTGCGTCTTCTAATTCGGACTTCAGGGACTTTGGTGCCAAGGCAGAGGGGCGTTTCTCTCCTCCCTCCCCAGGCCCTGGGGCAGGGCTGAATGCCCAGGATTGGCTCACCCTGTCCAAAATGGGCTGCCTTCCCTGATGGCAGGAGTTTGTGGTTGAGCTAATGGAAAGTGCCTCTGCTGGGCTCCACTCTTGTTATCACGTGCGTCTTCTAATTCGGACTTCAGGGACTTTGGTGCCAAGGCAGAGGGGCGTTTCTCTCCTCCCTCCCCAGGCCCTGGGGCAGGGCTGAATGCCCAGGATTGGCTCACCCTGTCCAAAATGGGCTGCCTTCCCTTTTTTAGCTGTTCGTTGATCTGTGAATTCCTCGTTCCTGGCAGCTTGACAAGCTCAGAACAAGGCTTAGCACGTGGGAGAGCTGGGCCCACCAGCCTGCAGCGGGAGGGGTGGGAGTGTGGCAGCCTTAACTCTTCCCAGGCATGCTGGCAGCTGTAGCAGGGGAAAGGGACAGC